ATCATTGTGATATGACGTAACAAGAGGCAACCCATGCCCAACTTTTCAAATCTTTTCTCTAACATTCCTTCGTGTCTCACATTCTACACCCTTTAATAATTACTCTAAATTCTCCTTTTTTTAATTTTTTTAACCTTTAATAAAATTACTATGCATATTATGTTGGAAAAACAATAACAATAATAATAATAATAATCCTGATTTTGATTCTAACAATCAAACATAAACATAATCCCATACTTGATAAACATCGTCAGTAACTGAATGCGAAAGCGTACCTGAATTAGCCATAACGATGATGTCTTTGTAGAGCACTATATTGATCTTATGGTCTCTACACAATTTTATTTTCATGACATATGCTTTTAACCAAAACTTTAATTTAGTCAGATCACTTTATTATTTGACTTAATAAATAATGACCCTAACACATTTAAATATGTATCATATATATACATGACCCAAAATTTGCCAACAATCTCCCACTGGTCACAAATATATATGTCTTTACAACTTTACAAATGTGTTAGACTTTATGAGCTCAAAATTGTCATTATATTCCTTTAGCATATTCCAAAAGTCCTGTCCATTAATCATATCAGGATATAGAACCAAACCAGCTTTTCATTGCATCATCGCAACTAAAACCAACAAGATTACCCATCCTGACATAACCAAATGACATGGATTCATCATGAAATGTGTAGCATGAAAAATTACGTGAAGGTGATCTGTACACGTCTATTTTCAACTGGTCCAAACTTTAACTTATCGAGATCGATACAATAACCTTAATGTACAAAGTGTAATGAATGAACAAGAAAACCGCATATCTATAGATAACCAAATATGTCCAAAAAACAATGTATACATATATAAAATTAAACATAGAACATAAAATATATGAAAATGACTAACTCCCACTAAACCACAAATTCCTCAAACCGTAAAACACCCATGTGAGCAACATGCTCATGAAAGACCTTGGACTGAAGTCCTTTAGTTAGAGGATATGCTATCATGGAGTTTGTCCTTAAGTGTTCTATGAAAATCTGTCCACTTTGTACTCTTTCCTTAACAATACAACTGATTTATTGTCACAATATAACTTAAGTGGTCTTTCAATGCCTTTCACAATTTGCAGCCCTGTGACAAAATTTATCGACCATATTCCATGATTTGATGCCTCATAGCATGCTACAAATTCTTGACATCCTGCAAAATATGAGTCGGAAAATCCAGCCGATCTCCAACTCGGTCCGACATCCTATATGTGAGCATATAATCTTTTGTTCTCTTTAAATATCTTATGACCCTTTTTGCTGTTTTTCAATGGTCTATTCCTGAATTGCTTAAATATCTGCCTAGAACCCCAACTATGTATGCTATGTCTGGACGCGTACATACTTGGGCATACATCAAATTCCCTACAGCTGATGCATAGGGAATCTTTTGCATTTCCTCAATTTCCAAATTCCCTTTGGGCACTGATTGAGACTAAACTTGTCTCCCTTTAAACATGTGATACATACAATCATCAACAATATTCATCTTGAAGCCAAATGAGTTTCATACCTTCTGGTAATGGGACAAGTTCCCAATAACCTTATTGTCTTGCATGGACTTATACTTATCCTATTGCTTCAATCCACTTTTGAGATTTAGAACCTTATATAGCTTGACGGAAGTTAACTGGGTCATCTTCCATTATATCATTATTTTCCTCATGTTCCTGAAGAAATACCATGTAATTATCCGAAATAACACTTCTTCTTTCTCTAGTGGATCTCTGCAAAGTTATTAGCTCATGATGCACAGGTTCTTGAGGATCTTGAGTTTGTTCTTCATGAACAACCAAATCATCTTGAGTGAGGGGTTCATCAACAATGCCTTGTGGAGGTTCCGAACTTACTTTATCAAAAGTAACTATTTGAATCGGTTCGAAATTGTTACCGATTCTTCCTCCAAGATAAAGTTCTTAATCTTATTCTTCCCCCAAACTCAATATCCTCAAAGAACGTAGCGAGTTCCCGTCTCAAAAAATTGTCTTTAATGTGGGATCATAATATTTATATCCCCTGGATCTTTCAAGCATAACCAATAATATAACCACTTACCGTTCGGAGTCCAATTAAACTAATTATGCTCACATTATATAAAAAATAAATAATATATATTCAAATAGTGGTTTAACCCATCTCAAGATACCCAATGCACCATCAATATCAAGTCTTTGGACAGTAATATTAACTGCTAGAGGTATCTTGTTGTAATAATCAAACATTGACAATAAAGCACGTCCAACAACAAACCAGTCTTTGGATTGATTTATCATCGACAAAGCAAATCCTTATAATTATCACATGTTTATCATTACAAGTGTGTATGCAATTCGGCCAAATATTAATCTTCCTTTGGGCCGACTAATACTCGCATGAATATACACAAACACTAACATTCAATATTTTTCATGAACTGCCCAATTCAAGAGAAGTTACTTTGGTGACTTCTTGACTCAATTTGCTCACAAAAAATATTAAACTACCAAAAATTGAATATTTTATTTATATAACAAAACCAAATATTTAATATTTGCAAACTAATTCAAAAGAGAATCACCTCATTATAATTATACTAAGGATGAACACCTCCCTAGAATCTCATTAGGGATGAACACCTCATTTGAACAAATCAAAGGATGAAAAAAGGCCTCATTTTCCACCAATACCTAAAGGATGAACATCTTCCTAAAATCACACTAGGGATGAAACGAGAGATAGTTCGAGTCTCTTTAGCATACTGCTTTAAACCCTAAAAGGAATTAAACAAGTAATCACTCGGACTCTAATTTAACATCAAATTTTCCTTAAATTCCTAGGGGATAGAGGCAATAAAATAATAACGAGTCAAACATGTGGAAACATTCATCATTTACCTAAGATTCTCTGTATTGGGAACTCCACAAACACCACCCCCAATTCCAAACCCATAAAATTAAATAAAAACAAAAGATTCAAAAAAGAACAGAGAACCCAATACAAGAAAAATTGAAATATGAAACACTGTTTCTTTCTCGAGTAAAACTTGAAACTTAAACTGAAACAAAAGTGAAAAACGAAGAAGAAGAAGAATCCATAGCTTCCTCCACGGTTCCATCAACAAGCGAGAATCAGATTGGGATGTTACCCCCAAATTTAAATTTTAGGGTTCACAAAAATTAGAGATTATCCTCCACTTAGGGTTCATAAAATTGGGTAATCTGAATTGTTTAAAACAAAATTAATCCTAATTTTCATAATTAGGGTTTTATAAATTAAACAGACATGAATCAAATATGGGCTGACTCGATACCAATTGTTGGAAAAACAATAATAATAATAATAATAATCCTGATTTTGATTCTAACAATCAAACATAAACATAATCTCATACTTGATAAACATGCTTATGAACTGAATGCTAAAGCGTCACTGAATTAGCCATAACGATGATGTTTTTGTAGAAGCACTATATTGATCTTATGGTCTCTACACAATTTTATTTTCATGACATATGCTTTTAACCAAAACTTTAATTTAGTCAGATCACTTTATTATTTGACTTAATAAATAATGACCCTAACACATTTAAATATGTATCATATATATACATGACCCAAAATTTGCCAACATATTACGATTAATTGTGCTCATATAGCATATTAATTGTCTTTGGCTAAAAATACTTATAAATAAGATATATTATTTTAATATATTTTATTCGTAAAAGTATTTGTAAACAACTTTCACTACAAATATTCTATGAATCAATAATAATAATAATAATATATTATTATTATTATTAAAATTTAATTCATTATCCGTAAAAGAATGAATCTCACCAAAAAAAATTATTGTTGGAAGCAAGAGGGGATGTATATATATTTTTATAGTTTTATTTATCCGCTTTTAAATCACAATTTATATTTTCAAATATAAATGTTATGAAATTTAAATTTATTTGTTTGAAAGCACCAACTCTAATCCATAATAAACGTTTTGATAGGTCAAACAAAAAGACTATTTATAAACTATCATTAATTTTGATCTTTAAACCGTGTGGGACTTGCATAAAGGAAAATATATAATTTTAATTGTTATTTATTTATTTTAAATATCGAAATGGCATAATTTAAGTCTGTCAAACATATTACAAGTAAATTATTAATTCAGATTATTTCAATTGAAGTGAAACAAAAGTCACAATACTATTCACCGCTAAATATAAATTTGAAATGTGAATTACTGAAATCATAATTTGATTATTAATTTATTGTTTGACATATCTAATATTTTGAAATATTAATTTATTAAAAAGACTAAAATAAACCATCTGAAATATTTTTAAAAAAAGTTTATTTTATTTAAAAAATAGGAATTAAAATAAAAAAATACTCGACCTAACATCACAACACAACTGTGTCGTATTGTTTTGCATAGATGGCTTTATCATATATTATTCCAAAACTTTGCAAAACGTATCCTCCACTCATGAAACTGTAGGCATTACGTGATCCATTTTGCGACTAACAAAAAAGAAAAAGTACTAGCTTTTCTGAACGTAACACTAATCTCTCATTGTCTATGTGTGTAGAAAACACAGTGGACCATACTCTCAACACCAACTTCTTTTATATGTTTTTTTAATGATGTGTTTCGTCTTGAAATAGAAGTACAAAGACTTATTTAATAACTTTTTGCTTATAAGAACCAAATTGATAATTCACTGCAAAATTAATATTTCTTTGTAAGGAGAAAAAAAATCCTGTTACACTAACAGTATAAGTGTTTATTGTCGAGATGAATAAGAATGATAAGGTGATGATAGGAAGAAGGTAGAATAGTTGCAGGAACCTGCAGAATGTATGAACTTGTAAAATCATTTGAAGGTTTTGTTCAGTAACTTCTCTTTGAAAAAAATAATAAATAAATAATCGTCTTATGAATGAGGCTGTATAAAATCTAGAGTCTGACTGGGATACGAAGACCATCATAGCTCAGTTGTGCATCAAGGCCCTCAGACTCCAATAATCTCGCAAGGTAGTCATTCACTTCTTCATGATCCATCAGATGCATCATACCTTCAAATTACCAATGAGGAGACATCGAAATTATTTCTCTAAATCATTGTAATTGATGAAGTATTTCTTACTGCCTCAAATTTTTTTTTTTATTTACTAATTTCGAACTTCTTAAGGGGTTTATCAGGCTTCCTAAATGCATGATGCATGATGAATGAACTAAGGTAGATCAAGGCTAGAAAGTAGTGCAAGCATTGTGATAACTACATGGTTCAAGCTAAACTTACCAGTAAAAAGTGTTCTTTTGGGTTGAATCTTTCGCACTTCCTCCAATGCCTGAAATGGAAGATCAGAATAAATCTCCTCCTAAATGAAAAATTCAAACAAATGTAAAGCTGGTTATTAGTTTATTACTCTTGGAAGTCCAAAATGTGTGGAAGTAGAGCGATCAGGTCTTAAAGCATCCTGTAGAATCAAACACCATATGAGCGAGGGAGAAATCACACATGCACTCCCAGTTATTTCATGTAAGTAAAAGAAGGCACATCTGTGGAAAGATGGAAAGAATGGGATGGTAGATCACCAGGATAAGAATTTCACAGTCCTTTAGAAGTGGATAAGTTTCTTCAGGAATTTCACTAACATCACTGCAAATTTAGGCACAAGATTAGCCAACATAAATAGATGAAAAGGCTGAACTGGATTATAAGCAAGTAGTTTTGTACTTGGGTAGAAGTATTACCTAATGTAACATATATTACCAAAACGAAAACCAAGGGACCGATAATTCTGGCCGTGCCACACTGGTAATGGGGTAAACTGAAGTACAATAGTAGAAGGAAAAAGAATAGAACCGAACCCCGTCCACAAGAAGGAACACGTCAGAAATTGATTGATTGAGCAACAAGGGAAAAAAAACAGTGAACAGGGACAAAGTACGAGAACACTCCCCCCCCTACTTCAAGATATTAAAACTAATAGTAGTGCTGACCTTCAGTCCATGTACAAAAAATGATTCTTCCGATATGATTTTGAATTGCAACTCTGAGACTTTGGCACCAGGTATGATAACACTCGTATCTACTAAATAATAATGGGTCTTTGTCATCACCTGCATTTTTCAGTAACGAATACAAGAATAAATTCACTATAAAAACATATCCAAAGTTGCTCATTGAAGTAGCAAATGGTGAATGATTTTTAAAAACGAAAAGCAAAGCTTCACATATATAATACATTTCTCTTAAATGTAGAGTAGATTATTGCAACAATGATGAATGTAACGGAGGATGGGCAGCTTCTCTTCTCTCTTAGACATGATTTCAGAAGCTCACATAGTGAAGAAATTGTTTCATCATGCAAATTAGAAAAGATTGAACCTCTGGAGATATTAGATAGTATCTTCTGATACAAATTTTCAGGTCTTCAGCCTATATCAGAAGAGGAAGATTTAATTCTTCAGATGGCTATTATTAGTAGGTGTCAGTACACGTTTTTCAGTAGGGTAGTTTATAGGTAAGTATAGTTAAATCCACCTTTTAACCCTTCTCAAATTTTAACTACAATAGTCATAAATATTTTCTAAACGTATAACGAATTTCTGTGATGTAAATGTTAAAGCCAATACAGAGATTCATTAGCATTAAGTAGATATATATAACCAGTTGTGTATTCCTTTGGCCATCCCCGAGAAAAATGCACATCATATGCAATATGCACAAATTCACGATTTCTTATGGTATGCATTAATTTCTTTAAATGTGATACATAGATATACAGGAGGCCTTTCAAACATAAATCAAAATTACAAGGTACATATACAGATAACAAGCAGAAAGTAAAATTGACAACTTGGATTTAGAAGGAAAGCACATGGGAAAAAAACCTCAAAGTCTCGCTTGGCTACATATATTGGAATATGAGGCTGAACATTGTTTGTCCAATCTCTAAGATCATCAAGACCTGGGTAGAAGAAAGAATCAGAGTTTGTTTATAGGACCAATTAGATTTCTTATTACTTTAGCCAAGCATATACATGTATTGATATTCTACATATATTAATTATCCAAAGAATATTATTCAAGAGTATTTATGTCAGACCTCCAATTGCATCAGCATGTGAATGAGTAATAATAACCGCATCAATTGTTCTTATCCTGGCAGAAAAATACAAGTTATAGAGGTATAAAATGAAGGCAGAAAAATACAAGAAATTATGTAACAACATCTACTGCATATATTTTAAGGTCTATAATCAAGATTCCTCAAGAAAAAACATTTAAAACAAGAAACGCCACTGACGTACAAGTCCAATTCATTTTACATGGGTATTGATGCTTTCACAATCTTACACCCGTACACTCCTTAAAGACTTCCACGCAAACCATAGGATAACCTTAAAGAACTTTGCGAACAGTCCAAATTGTGTAGATATATACCACATATAGTTTGTGAAAGTTTCTTTTCCTAAATTGTATGTCCTACCTACGCATTGTTATTAATGTTGCATCATAATTTTTCCTAAAAAGAAAAAAAAAAAACATAAAATAGAGAACCCATCTCATGTAACAATGTTAACAAATGGTAAAAAACTAACTCAAAAGCGGGAAACCACCGGAGGGCACTGTGATAGAAAAATCTGCAATAAGTACATTAATTTGTTATCAGTACCCAAATGAAGCACATGATCCAATCATATGCAGGTTTGTCTTGAAACCGAACTCAAATGATTTCAAATTCAATCTTACAGCAATAAAATTCTACAACATATCCATGGTTCAGACATCACTATATCCAAACACAGCATATATCATCCCATTACTGGGCAACTCAGACTTAATTAGAATTCGGTGCACACATAAAAGACTATCCTATCTTTGAGAGAAACTATGACACCCATAATCCATTCTATCATCACCTAAATGCATACTATGCACATCCATGTACATGCCACCAGCTCAGCAATTCAAGTCATTGAAGGGGTAGAATCATTTAATTCTCAATGGATCGATTTTGGACCTCTTCAGTATACAATAGGAATTACACTAGCAATGTATCAAAGGAAAGCTATGGTAAAGTATTAATTTGTCCATGTTCTAGCAGAGTTTTGACAAATTCAAGAAAGAGAAGAAAGTTTAATTAGTGGCCAACCTAAAACCACCACGAAATCGCATACATATGTGGACCAACATTCAAAATAAAAGTACGATAAATCCCATCCTCCTAATTCCTAACCTAAAAAAATTGCAGTGCATATCAAATAGGAAATTAAAAACATACTTTCCCGCATCTATAAGAATATTCTGTGTTCCTGAAGAATTGGGGTGACGAATGAGGATGCTTGTGTTAAGTCTCCTATTCTTATTACCCGGTTCGGCTGCTTTCGAGCACACCTGTAAAAACCATCATACCAAAACCAATAAACCCTAAAGATCAAATTCCATAACGTCATATCCATTCATCAATTACAATAACATGGTTGAAATGAATAATGTCATGTACCTCACATTTATTTAAAGGGTTAGTCAAGCAACTAACACGAGGAACCCCTTCACTGGTTCCAGTCCCCAAAAAAATAATTTCCGTTTGTCTTTGATCACCACCCAGTTCCACTCCGCCATCTTCCTTAGAAACTTCTGCAGCGACATGAACTCACAAGTCAACACAAATTGCAAATAATGGTTTAGTCATGTATAAATCTACAAAGGAGTGTTATTCTTTTCAGAACAAAGAAAAAAAGATGCGTAATTTGCAAGAAAGACAAGTGTTCCAATCGAAAAGATAGGTTAAGGTGAGGTCGCAGTGAGTAAAAGAAAATGGTGGAAGTTGAGTGGTTACTGGAGTGGATGGTAGAGAAGGCAATGGTGGAAGAGGGACGAGAGCGCCATGAATATGGAAAGCGACGAGGAGCGTAAGAGATGATGAATGGAGAAGGAAGAAGACGAATGGACGCAACCACCATCGATTGATCGATTCAGTGTCTGAGTAGTGTTTGTCTTTGTGTCAGTCACACGAACAATTACACACGTGTTGGTTCCGTTGTGTTGTGTTGTTTTCGTTTAAGGCAAAGGTTAATTTAAGAGGTCACAGTGTACACTTTTTATCACCCAAATAATATTTTGATTCTTAAATTAAAAAAAAAAAAACTTGAAGTACATTAGGGATAGTGTGATATTCTTTTAAAATTATGAAGTGTGTAAGTGAGTAACCTGATTTATTTGAATTTAATTGATTTTTAGAATATAATTAATAAAAGAATTTATAAAAAATTATGGTTAAAAACATGTATAACAATTTTTACCATAAATTTAGGGATATATTTTTGTATCATGTAGAACTGGTGATTGTCTTTTATAATTTTAGAACATAAAAACCTTTTATATCTTCTATGTAAATTTTTATTTTGTTATGAATTTTGATACTTGTATCAGGCTATGTACATTTGGGTGAACTCTGAAAACAGAAAAGAAAGATTTTGTAGTTTATATTTATGTTTTTGAAGATAGTGCAATTCTTGTTTTATATTATGTTCATTTATCTCTTTCTATTCTTATTACATTTTTTATTTCCATTCTCTCTTTCTTTGTTTCCCTTCTTCTTATCCTTTCATATTTGTGATTTTTATCTCTCCAATCATATATCTGCATGTTTTTTTCATTTATTCAGGTATTATATGTGCATTTACACAAATTCATTAATTTATTTTTATTTGGTTTTCATATTTAATAACTTTAAAAATTAGTAATTCAGATATTATTATTATTTAACTATAAAAACAATAGTTATAAAATGAGTGTCCTTATTATAAAAAGGTCTATAATTAGACATGAGAAGGGACGGGGAAGATATGACTATAAGATGAGTAATGATACAAATTTGCAAAAAGCATTTGAATTTCTATTTCATTATAGCCTGTTTTACAAAAATCAACCACATATATGAATATATCCCAATTTTTTTCCCAATAAAACTATACCAAACACTAATCCTTGTTTGGATCATAAGATCCAACCGGGTTAATTCCACCTTAGCATGAATCATACCTCCTCTCCAGAGTATCTCTGCAAAATCATGAAAAGAAAAAAAAAAAAATCCAGTGTGACTAACAAATTCAAAGAGCTATTACAAGTTTCAAAAAAAAAGTTACCAAAGAAATCATTATAAAGATTCAAGTACAAAATATACTACTATATGATGTTTCATTCAGGAAGAAAACATAGATGCATATTTACACAGTCTCGGACATTCAATAATTTTATATCACAGACACAGCAAAAGTATAAATAAAGGTTTACTGACCAGTAAAACATTGCCAAAGGTTAATCCTACAAGCTCTTATCTTTCACTTTGCTTCATAAGTGTGAAACAAAAAATAAAAATATACAGACTTTAATTCAAAAGGAACAAAGTGATAAGATTCCTAACACCAAAATAAAGTCTAGTGTTGAAGTTGTGTCAAATAAACAAATTTAGAGATTGTCAAATTACATTACATCAAATATTGAAGTTCTGTCAAATGTTAAAGGTGTCATGTTTTTTTCTCAGTTTATATGCTTTCACTATTAACTATAAAAATACCATATAGACCTAAGTATTACATTGACTGAGACTTTACCGACTTAATTGGTAGTCTTGGTGAAAAAAGGATGGATATGGTTAGAAAGTTGAATAAAAGTATGAAAGAATTCATATCTGATAGTGTTTGATGCATACTAGGTGACCTGTCAAAATATGTACAAATTATATGCAAATGACAGAATTACTCAGGGACAAAACCATGCCCACATATTCTACATTGATCCATTTTTAAATTTAGAAAATATTCTTAATAACCTACTCCGTAACACCATTATCAATACCAACAAGTTGGCATCTACATCATCACACAGAACATTACCCTGCTCAAGTTGTCTAAACAGTCACCTCACCAGTCTCTAAATCTCATCCCAGCAACCAAATTATTATTTTTGTCTCTCATAACTGATGGGACTGATGAAACCTGTTCTAGAACAAAAAAATTGGGCTCCGGTTCAGGTTTGAAGAACTATCACTATGAACCAAGACAAGAGTCTTCGTAATGTAACACAACAGAAACAATGAACTGAAGCCCCAAAAAGAGTTTGAAAAGGGAGAAGTGTTGTAATCATTAGTCCATATAGAGGGTGGTTGTTAGGCAGGTGTTACAGCAATTCAATGAGAAGGAAGACTAACTGGGTCAAGGAAGAGAAGGTTGGGGGTGAAGAAGATGAATAACTATCTTTTCCTATTTTTCCTCCTAGCTACCAAACACGCACAGGAAAGAGAGATGATCATGAAACAAAGAACAATGAGAATATTCAATAGCTCATCAAACATTTGAATATGCTAAAAAATATAAAAAACATTGAAGTCCAATACATACAAAAATTTAAGGCAATGAGTGTAGTTGTAGTCTAAATCTCCAAGTCATGAAAAAACTATGTGAGCAAAATAATAAATGAAAGACTAGATTGAAATTTTTAGTATTATCCACTGATTAGAAACATCAACCAATCACTGAAACAGTTTCTATTATTTTATTTTAGAGTGATATATGATGAGCTATGACAAACAAATAACGGAATATAATTAGTATTAGAACCAAGATCCAAAAATTAATATTATAGTTATAAAGATAGATCAGATTATTTCCGAATGAATAGGATTTATGAATACCTTCTAAACAGACACAATCTCAAAGTCTGCATGCTGAGAACAATTGCGGAAGTAGGCAGTTATATGGTCAAGGTTGTTGATGAAGATTTTATATGTTGATCCCACTCCAAAGTTCAATGACTTCAATTTACTAGGAGACAAACATTCTGGCTTTAATAGGGCTGAAGTCCCACAAGTAACCTGAAATTGAAAAGTTTAAAAAATTGTACATAGGCCAACAATTGCATTCATAGACATGAAAATATATATACAGAATTTTCTCCATACCGAAACTGTGCAGAAAGACAGTTTAACAGCTTCTGCACTATGACATCCGCGTAACATATTGATCAAACCATGTAAAGTCTCCTCTCTTTTCCTTCGACGACATTTTTCAAATCGATCATGTGGTTCATGTATATCAATGATCAAGCCATCCAAAGATGGAAGTCGAAACTCAAAGAAGGCGCAAGGTGTAGAATACAAGTAAGTGAAATTGGAAAGCTGTGGTGCAGCAACTACAATTTTGCATTTAAAGCGGTTGCACATTAGATTCAAGTTACTGAGTTTGGGAGCAGATATCACAAAATCCTTAGGGTTCAAGTCTGACTTAAAGGACATTTCACTTAAGTGCAAATTCTTCAAATGCACACAATTAGCAAATGGGTCAAGACAGTCAATTCCTGTATAACACAGAGTGAAGTTATTTAGATGCAGAGTTGTCAGTGTTGTAAAACCAAATAGTTCTGCCAAGCTTGCAAATGGATTTGAAAAATCGGCTGCAGCAGGATCCATTGCAAACTGTTCCAGATGCAACAAGTCCAATGATTTGCAACCTATAGGGGATGACACATTTGTAGGATGGCAATCTTTTAACTCAAGCTTTTTCAAAGATTGGCAAGAAAATAGAGACAAAGGAATTTCAACAGGAGGACTACCAGATGTTTTTGCACGGAGATTGATTTTGATTTCTTCAACCCCATGTGATGCTGCATACTCAATAACCTTATTCAATAGATGTTGATCTGTCGCATAATCTACTCCAAAGCGATAGTAAACAAGAAGTTTGACATGACATGAATCGCGGTGGTTTAGAACCCACAGCACAAACTTCTTGAAGTCAACCAACCGCGTGAATGATTTGCTGCTAAAATTCAGGCAGGGAACTGAAGCCCAAAGATACCTCCACCTCTTTGATAAAATGCAAGTTTGAATAGCATCCTTTGTTTCCAGAAATGACAAGATATGATGGATAAGACAGTCTGGCATATCACTAAGTCTGTCCTCGCTTTCTGCCATTTCACAGTTATCTTCATTTTTAGAAGCCAAAATTTTGGTTTTGGACTTCTTCAAGACAGGACCAGATTCCTGAGAATAAGCTTTCTCCATTCCGGCTTCACAGCACTCAATTGAATCAGTCTGGTTGAAGCTTCCAATCATATTCCCATCAAATCATTCTAAATTTGAAATGGTCCAGTATTCAGCAGCACTGTTACTCTACGAAGAATCTGACATAAACAAGAAAAACGGAAACTCGTGAGAAAAAAAATGCATATCAGTCTGTTTCTACAAGTTACACACATATTAGAAATACAACAAAAGACCTTACAAATACAATCAAGAGATTCTATTTATCTTTTAGACACAAGCTCAGATAATAATTGAAACATGACAGTAAAAATAGCTTGCCTACCCATGAAAACACAGTCCCTCGATTCCCCTATATAAAAAATCTCTTTTACAATCTTCTCTAATTCAATCCTCAAGCACACTAAAGTTTGAATCTTGACTCCCAAATCCAGGTACCCACAAACCCCACTAGTAAAATTCCCCAGCCAAAAGTGTTCACGTTATCAGTAACAATAATAGTAATAAAAAAAAAAAACAACTTTACCATTTCCCAGTTGACAAATTACACAAAGGCACAGCCCCAACATGTGGTGAATAAAAAATACGAATTGAGAAATCAAAAAGCAGTTGAAAAAGGAAGAGGGGTTTTGCACCTGAGAGAGGTCTTACAAAGAAGACAGTCATGTTTGAAGGGCACGAGCCCTACGACGAGGCTGGTATGTTGGAAATTGTAGCTTTGGAGGGAGCCCTTTTGTATTGTGTTGTGTGAACAAGGTTTGGAAATGGAGAAATGGATGAGTCTCCCTCTCTCTCTTATATTACTGCTAACAAAGCTTCGAAATTCAATAGTTTTATTGCCTCTTTTTGGTACCACGCAATGGCTGCGACCATAGCCTCTCACAATTATGTTTTTCATTGGCCTTTTGGGCTTTGTATATGCCTTTGATCTTCCACTTATGGAAACTTCTACAAAAAGAGGAAAGAATCATTTTTCTTCATCCCTTCTAACAATTAAGGCATGCATATGATTATTTTTCATTCATTGTTATAAATGAATCTACACATTTATTTATTTATTTAATACGATTGTAAATTAATAAACACATTTATTTATTTTTACTCTTTCACTTCAATATTTATACATTTTTCTCTTGCAATAAAACCCAATCAATTTGAATTTACTCTAAATATTAATTTTATAATAATTAATAAAAAAATAATTGAGATAAGGTGTAGGAGGAAAATTATACCTTGAATTACAATATTCTAATATTTTACAAATATTTGCATTATCCAATTTTTTTTATTTGTATCATGAATAAATACATTTTTATTATTTGCATCTTTTAATTTAATAATTTATTTAAAACTTTGGCATATTATAACCTTTTGTGGAGGTTTTCAACACTGTAATTAATGTGTTTATAGATTTAATGAAACAAATATTTAAAGAAATTAATATAGTATTAATTTTTAAGATTGCAATTAATATATTTTATTTTTAACATTTAATTATTTGGTGTTTTTTTTTAAATGATAAACATTTTATTAATTTCTATTTTATAGTTTGAAGGATCATTAAAAGGACTTCATCATTATCATTATTAAGTTATTTATGTTTTCAACATTAAAATTTTAGAATCACATCAAATTATTTTATCGGTTTAAAACCATTAAATTATTTAAATTTAATGAATTTTGATGAAAAACGTAAGATCCATAAAATTATAATAAATATACATATTTATAATATCTACATCATACTTTATTTATTAGAATTTGTATTAATGTTGTGTTTAATGATAAAACTTTATAAGGCAATTGATTTTATTTAGTATTTAAAATGTTAACAAAAAAAGAAAAAGAAAATGTTATAGATATTACCATATAAATTGACATGGAATAAATATAATCTTATTGATATTAATGCATAAAATTTATTATTAATGTCATTTAAATAATTATATAAACCTGATAGAAAAATAACTTCTACTAACATATACTGAAATATATAAAAGATAAAAACGTTTTGAATTATTAAATATTATTTAATTTTAAAATAAATTTTATATTTAATAGTAATTAAAATATTATATCTACATAATAAAAATAAAGTTGAACAATTTTGAATTTTGTGATAAAAATAAATGAAAGTAATTCTAGTGTTTGGCACAAAATTTTGAGTTTCTTGAATGTTTCCCACAATTTATTTACATTTTAAAAAAATAATTATTACAAAATAATATTTATTGAAAATAGTGGTTGAGTTATATTTTTAACACTATTTTTATGAATATTGTTCATGTGTATTGTTAAGTAACACTTCTCAATAAGAAATTATTACACAAGTACGAATAAATTGCAAGATTTAATTATTGTAAATTGAAAATGAATTAAAAAAAAGAAAAAATATTTTAGTTATTTTATGAAATTAATTTAAATAGATACATTTAGTTAAAATATAACAAATAACAAATAATTTAATGTAAAATTTAATTTTTGTTAATATAACAAATTAAATTTATAAAATAAACCAACAATATATTTTGGTTTTCTTAGACGAAATGTGCGTAATTGGGTCACTCATTTTATATTGGACCGTGAAAGTTAAAGCAAGAGCCCAGTTCAAGTATTTTGAAAACGGTGAGCGGATTGAGCTATTACTTTTAACACCTCTATTTTTATTAGTTTTAATAATGATGGTTTCTTTTTCTATATAATTTGTTTTATTTGTAAAAAATATATAAATTTATTATTAGAGCATAATAAAATTAATATAAAATTATATTTATATCGAAATCTGAAACATTTTACATGGTCTATTAATTAGATGATACATTCTATGTTTTTTAGTAAATGAGTTGAACTCTAATATAATTTTTTATCATTAATTTTTATCTTATATAAATCTGAAATCTCTCAAAAACACAATTATAATCCAATAATAGAGAAAAAAAAAGTGTATAAAAACTTTAAAGTGAATTAATCAAATCAAGTTCTGGGAACAATGAACAATTGCAGTGATAAAGTCACAAAATTTAAAATTTTGAGCTTTTGGGTGGTGAAGTCAGGAGAAATTTATTACACCTATACAATTTTATATTAAAAATTTGTTATCAAACTATTTAATTATAATTTTATACTATAATGTCTATATCAAATTTCATTAAAAAAATAAACTACAATAACACAGTTTATATTTTAATATACAGTAATTTTTTTTAATAAACTCCATCAATTTTATTTATTTATTTTATTATTAACTAAGTTAACCAACAAGTCCATGTAATAATAAAATACTACAATCTTTTGTATATTTCAACAAGTTATCTTTTGTTCAAGGAGAAATTTTTATAGACGTCTTTGAATAACATGCAACAAATAAATTAATATTTCTCTAAATACCCAATTATTTAAAATTAAATTTAAAGATATATATTATTTTTTAAAGAAAAAATCGTATTAAATTTTTAAAATAAATAATATTTCCATCCAATTCCGGGTACTAGTAAGATAATATATATATATATATATAGGTTAAATTAATTAAAAAATATATTTGTTCCCTCAAAAACTATATGATCAAGTAACAGACGTCATAGGTTTTTACAAAGTATTTTCATAGAATTTATCATACGATAGGTTTTTCATATAAAAAGTATGTTCACATAATATTATGTAGCTGAAGTTAAGATCTCCATGCATCTCACTGTTCTGAGGTGTAACAGGTTGAATAGAATATTCGTGAAGGAGTAGAAGACTTCTTAGATGCATACTCTGTCGATTGCTTCTCTGTCTTGGCTAAGAACTTTGACTCACAATTTATATTTTTTGATGCATTCACAAAGTTCCACCATAGCCAGCACCATATATTATCTATATAAATAGATACTAGAGTTCACCTGCTTCCTCCACAACACTATCACATAACAACCATGACTATGCCCATCTCTGCTATTTTTCTGTTGACTCTCTTTTCTGTCATTTATGGCACTGCATCTACCCATCATCTTCGTCACACTCTATCTTCTGATTCCTACCATCAACCTTACAGAACTGCTTATCACTTCCAACCTCCCAAGAATTGGATAAATGGTATCTGCAACATGTTTCCTCAACTCATTTTAAATTCTCTTGTACCCTTTATTCATTTCTTTTCATTTTGTTGTGCAAATATTCCATGTCTCTAATATACAGTTTCTTCTTTTGCTTCTTGTTTTTGGTCATTTGACATGTAAACTTGACATGGGCATGTGGGTGTGTTCGGAGTTGCAGATCCAAATGGTTAGTTCAGTTCTCTTGTGAATCTCCCTCACTGCATCTATTTTTCATATTCTTGTGTATAGTTTCCTTCTATTCGCATCACCCCTATTCTCATATCCATCCAAACATAGTTATTTCAGAATTTCTGGAAATTCAAAATGGTTTAATATAAGAAATTTTCAAATTGTAACGACAGTTACAAAGCAAGCAGTAGAAATCAAATACAACAACGTAAATATATTGTGCTAGATCTCTATAGAGTAGGGCCAGAGAAAAGGATAAAAGAAGAGCACGTAATTGATGAAGAAGTTTCTTCCTTTTGGTCGGCTTTTTCTATTATAATTAATGTGATGCATGCAGAATATACTGAAGTCAAAAGAACTATTTTTTATAGGAAAATGTTTCTGTCTATTTTAAAAATATCATGTTAACAAAAGGTAGGAGACAAAGTATTACTGGGTGATTCTTTAAATAAAATAATATAAAAAAACGCGTAAGAAAGACTCAATATTTGAATCTAACAAAAATAGTTTTAAAGAATTTACAAGTTAATACGTCTACTGATTAATATACTATCTCTTATTATGGGGTGGAAAATAAGAAAATTGTCTTTACCTGGTGACTTTTTCTACAGGACCATTGCGATATGGAGGACTTTATCACCTGTTCTATCAGTACAATCCTAAAGGTACTGTTTGGGGAAATATCATTTGGGCACATTCAGTGTCAAAGGATCTTGTGAACTGGACCCCACTAGATCCTGCTATCTTCCCATCTCAGCCATCTGATGTAAATGGTTGTTGGTCAGGATCAGCCACACTGCTTCCTGGGAACAAACCGGCCATTTTATACACTGGAATTAACCCATTGAATCAACAAGTCCAAAACTTGGCCAAGCCCAAAAATTTGTCTGACCCTTTTCTCAGGGAATGGGTTAAGTCGCCCAAAAATCCTCTAATGGCACCAACTAGTGCTAATAAGATCAATGCAAGTTCATTTAGGGACCCCACCACTGCTTGGCTAGGCCAGGATGGACATTGGAGAGTACTTGTTGGAAGCAAAAGGGGAACAAGGGGTATGGCACTTCTATATAGGAGCAAAGATTTTGTTGATTGGGTTCAAGCCAAAGACCCTTTGCATTCAATCCTAGGCAGTGGAATGTGGGAGTGTCCTGATTTTTTCCCGGTTTTGAATAATGGCCAGTTGGGTGTTGACACATCTGTGAATGGTGATTATGTCAGGCACGTGCTCAAGGTTAGCTTGGATGACAAAAAACATGATTACTACATGATTGGAAGTTACAATGCTGACAAGGATGCGTTTATCCCAGACAAAGGGTTTAATGAATTTGTTCTAAGATATGATTATGGAAAATACTATGCCTCAAAAAGTTTCTTTGATGATGGAAAGAAGAGAAGGGTTTTGCTAGGGTGGGTGAACGAATCATCAAGTGTTGCTGATGATATCAAGAAAGGATGGTCTGGAATCCATGTAAGTTCATTGCAATTTCTTTTAAATTGTTATTATTGGTTTCCTCACCATGTTCTGAAATCAAGACAAGACTTCATCAAATCAAAAAGTGCTGACTCTAGGCTCAATTGATTAGATTTGTTTTGGGCATGGTTCATGGTTTAAAATAACATGAGCCAACTCATACCATGATTGGAGAGTGAGACCCCACAATTTCTTTTTCAGAAAATGAAGTCGACCTTAATTATAAATAATACTTGAAAACAGTAGTGGTGCAATTTCATCAATGATGCACATGCATTTTGCAGACAATTCCAAGGGCTATTTGGCTGCACAAGTCTGGTAAACAGCTGGTTCTGTGGCCAGTGGAGGAAATTGAAAAGCTACGTGCAAACCCTGTTAATTTGCCACCCCAAGTGTTAGAAGGAGGCAAGTTGCTTCAAATTAATGGTGTCACAGCAACACAGGTAAGTTTTACTTTCTAGAATCTAGTAACGGTAGAACTAAACTAATATAGTAACTGTTTTAAATTATATATATGTTCAGGATCACGTTGCAGAGAAGTGTTTTTTTATGAAAAACTGTTTGTATCGAGAAAACCTAGGGTCAAATGCCCCAGCTAGAATCATCATTTACGGTTGTAATGTTTTTGAAGTCCACAAAAACTTAAATATTGTGACTCTGGTTTCAAAATCAGACGAATCTTGATTTAAAAAAACACCATTTTTTATAGCTATATTATATATACGTCTCTGATATGCAAATCCTTGTATGAGAAAACAATTTGAAGTTATTAACTGTAAGTTTAATAACAATACTTGAACTAAAATAGAACCTTGTTCATGTTCACATGCAAAACTATATATCGACGTAGAAAGAGAATGTTTTTGAGTAATAATATTTTAATAACCTATTTTTCATTTGAAAACCTTATTTAATAATATAAGGTGTATATATTTTACCTCTGGTTGTCAAAATTTCCTTGTTGTATTATTATAAGAAGGTTCTTACGTAGGTTGCCAAGTAATTTTATATAACTTTTTATTATTATATTAGTATATTTTTTTATTACTTTGAAAGTAAAAATTTATGATTTTTTTCATCATCTGTTAAGTAGAAAGGTTTTAAAGAAGATTTATAATTATTTTCCTAGACAAAGGGAGTTCAGAAGAACAGATTTTTTCCAATAGAAACATGTTTGAAATTTTTTCAAAAATAATCATGGCCATTTTTTTCCTCTTTGAATGGTGTGTGCATGATGCATATGGTTAAGATGAATAAAATTTATAACATTCTAGTTTTGATATATTTTCTCTTCTCAACTGAAATTTATTTATGTTTATTAAAAATGTGAGTCCCACATCGATAATAGCGTTGTTTGTCATATACAACTTTCTTTTTCTTTTTAATACAAAAGAATCTTCATGAATGCTGAGGTACTAAAATTCACAGAAACAATTGTTTTTAACATAAAAAAGTAACAATTGTTTTCCTCTGCAGGCTGATGTGGAAATTTCATTTTCATTTGAAAAGAGTAAACTGAGAAAGGCTGAAGTACTGAACTATTGGAGGGACCCCCAAATTCTATGTAGCACAAAGGGTTCATCTCTTAGAAGTGAATTGGGTCCTTTTGGTTTGCTGGTTTTTGCTTCAGAAGGATTGCAGGAGTTCACATCAGTATTCTTTAGAATATTCAGATACGAACACAAATATCTTGTACTCTTGTGCAGTGACCAGAGCAGGTTAACTTTTTGTGCCCTCTATTATTTCCAATAACTCAACTCTTCTTCAAACTTTCTGATATCATACAAATGCATGCATGACAGATCTTCCTTAAATAAAAACAATGATTTGACCACTTATGGAACTTTTGTGGACGTGGATCCTCTTCATGAGAAGATGTCATTGAGAACCTTGGTAAGTTCCAACGATGAATCAATAAGATGTGCAAAGATTATTATGGTTATAAAGATTTGGCATCTTTGTTACAAACAATTTTGATTTTTCTAATGCAGTAGTTTATCTCTTACACAGATTGATCATTCAGTGGTGGAGAGTTTTGAAGGAGAAGGAAGGGGGTGCATCACTGCCAGAGTTTATCCTACATTAGCAATAGATGATAAAGCACAAATATATGCTTTCAATAATGGTTCTGCTGAAGTGATGATCACAAGGTTGAGTGCTTGGAGCATGAAGAAAGCACAGATAAACTGAAAATAAGTAGAAGGAGTGGAACAGATGAAATTTCATGATGATAAATTCTTCTTCTTCTATAAGTGCCTCTGAAATTCATTCACAACAATAATATGCATGTTATTCATCTTATTCAAATTCAAAAATTTGATAAGTTGACAAAATGATAAAATAGTTATTTTGGATTGGTTTTATATTATATGTATAAATGTTGAATTATTATTCAGCGTACCAAAATTATAGTATTTCGATTAAATAAAAGTTGATCCCACGAGGAACGATTTCAATAGAAATTCTCAATTATATGCTTATTAAGTGGATCAAACAAAATGAGTTTTGTATAAAGAGTTGAATTGAAATTAAATGACAATGAACTGTAAATTATTTAGAAAAGATCAATTAAAGACACTTAGGATTGACTTCCTTCCTTTTCCCTCATTTGCAATGACTATATTCAATTAAGATAATCAATTAACCTAACAATATTGATGTTACCTACTCAAATCATCCATGTTGATTCCTCACACATGAAATTCATAAGAAAACCTAATAAATATTGATTTCGCACACAATTAAGAGATTTTCCAACATTAGGTTTAGGGTGTTAAGAAATTGATACATTCATTTCATTCTTGACAATTAACGTAACAAATATTATTACCATAATCTAGGGTTCAAGATATATTTTTCAATTATATCCCAAACATCAAGAATAAACATTCAAAAGCATAAAGGATAAGAATGACAACATGAAAAATATAGATTAATATCTCAAAATATCACCAAGATACAAAAGAATTCAAAAGAATTGCACCCAATCCCAAGAGAATGAATTTAACCACTTATGGTGGTCATTACAATGCTCTAAATGAGGAAGAAGTGAAGAATTGATGAAGATTGGACGAAACCCTAGCAGTAGTCGCGTCTCTTCTAAAAAAAAAACCTTCTCTTTTCTCAAAATATATCTTATCTTTTTATAGGAGAATTTGGGTCTCGCGTCTTTCGCTCAAGCGAAAACATTTGCTCAAGCGAAAATTCAGTATTTTCGCTCAAGCGAAAAAGTGTTCGCTTGAGCGAGTGAGTCCCAAAGAAGTTTAACTAATTTTCGCTCAAGCGAAAATAATGGCGCTTGAGCGAATGACTTCCAGAGAGTTTTAACTAATTTTCACTCAAGCGAGAGTCTATCTCGCTCGAGCGACTTTCATGTTGAAAATCTTCTTCCTCTTTTCAATTTTTGCTTCAATTATGTTGACAATTATGCTCCTTTCTCTTGTATCAAAGTATTCTCGAATTCATCATACATTGGGAGAAAAATAGATTAGAATTGACATAAGTTAAGTGATTTCATAACAATTAAAAATATAATTATATCAACTTTTTACCACTTAACAACTCCCCCAACCTAGAATCTTCCTTGTCCCAAGCAAAGTAATTTTTCCAAAATAAAATCATCACCTATTATCATTTTCTCTTCTAGAACCACAACATAAAAATATTTTTTCTTTCAGATACGATGCTCACAACTCCAAATGAAAATAGAATACATAAGCATTAAAGTTACAAAAACTAACAAAAGGATAACTAGCCATCAACTATCCTCAAAGAAGCATATATAATCATCTCTAACTCTCACGGGTAAATGTTTATCTCATTCAATAACTTTATTTAGATATTCCAATATTGATAATCATCTTCAAGCAATCAACATTTGTTAAGCAAGACTTAAATCAAAAGATCTTTTGAGACTTGTAATGAGTTGGGCTAAGAAGAAATTCATTGGTTTTTTTGGGATATACAAAGTATTTGAGAAATTCAAATCATATGAATGATCTTTGTTTAACATTTCCTCAAGTTGACTTCATGCTTTTACTCCAACATCAAGATAGTGAATTAACACTCTCACTAGTTATCATTCACACCACTTTGAATTTCTTTTTCCTTTCCTCATGCTTTGCATTTATCATTTCAGCTTAGCCACACTATTTATGTTTTTCTTTTCCCTTTTTCTCAACCTTTTTTTTAAGAATAACAATTGTAGACCCCTAATCTTGCCCGACCTCAAAATAAAGACTAAAAGACCTCATTTTCGAAGATGGATAAAGCCTAAGAAGCCACTAGGAGAGACTATTAGGCCCCATACTAGGATAGGAGGGATTTTTGGCACCAAAATAAGGATTTTCGCCTTTTAAGGTCGAGACCGCCGTCCCAAATTCGGGACCGCCGTCTCGCCTTGCGCAAATGGCGAGACCGCCGTCTCGCCATTCCTGCAAGGCGAGACCGCCGTCTCGCCATTCCCGCAAGGCGAGACTGCCGTCTCGACTGACGAGACCGCCGTCACCGCCGTCTCGACCTTGTCAGACGAGACAACCCGTTTCGACCTGACAGACGCGAATCCCTATAAATAGGGCCCCCATTCCCCTCATTTCACACAGTTCTTCCTCATTCTCTTTAGAAATCTCTTCAAATTCTCTCTCTAGAACCCTTCCGAAGCATTTCTGGAGTTTCTGAGCGTTTCTAAGAGTGTTCTTGAGCGTTTCGAGAGGTTTCTGACGCTGTGTAGAGTGAAGGGCTGCCACAAAGCACCCTATTTTCAAAAAGAATTAATAGAAAGCTTGCTCCGAAGGTTTCTACTTTCTTCCTTTACCTTTTATCGCTTTATTTAAATTATGCGATAGATACTAGGGCCATGTAGTCATAATCTTTAAATTCCGCAAATAAAAGGGTAAAAACATATTTTCACCGGTTTAATTATTTTTAAATAGCTGGCCTATCATAGGAAACCTGAAAGGGGCGTCGTAAAGGAACTAACACTTCCTTTACGCGTAACTAATTCCCTTACCCAACTCTGGTTCTAACGACCAAAGTTGGTTTTTCGAAAACCAACGCCTTTTAAACCCCTTTTCCAATGTTTCCGGTAAAAACATCGGTGACGACTCCAGAGAACCCTTCAAAACTAGCTCTTGGATTAGCCCGGTTATCGGACAATCCAAGAGCGCCCTTTCGAAAACCTCGCCCCTAGGTTCAGCCCGGTTATCGGACAACCTAAAGGCGTTGTAATCACACCAATAAAAAACGTGAAAGTCGGAAACCATCGCGTCGCTCCGATCGCCTCGTTTTGACGGCGGCGACAGATGGCGACTCCACTGGGGACCCTTCAAAACTAGCTCTTGGATTAGCCCGGTTATCGGACAATCCAAGAGCGCCCTTTCGAAAACCTCGCCCCTAGGTTCAACCCGGTTATCGGACAACCTAAAGGCGTTGTAATCACACCAATAAAAAACGTGAAAGTCGGAAACCATCGCGTCGCTCCGACCGCCTCATTTTGACGGCAGCGACAAATGGCGACTCCACTGGGGACCCTTCAGAACTAGCTCTTGGATTAGCCCAGTTATCGGACAATCCAAGAGCGCCCTTTCGAAAACCTTGCCCCTAGGTTCAGCCCGATTATCGGACAACCTAAAGGCGTTGTAATCACACCAATAAAAAACGCGAAAGTCAAAAAGTCGGAAACCATCGCGTCGCTCCGATCGCCTCGTTTTGACGGCGGCGACAGATGGCGACTCCGCTAGGGAAGCCTAGAGAGTTGATCCCATTTAGTGATGGGTCAGCTTAAAAATAAATAAACCAAGAAAATTACGCTTTTACCCCACCTTGTATTATAACATGTTTTATTGCTTGGCTTTAATAACTGTTGTTTATTTATATTTACGCAATTGTTTGAAATACAAACTGTACACAAACCCTTGCACATAACAGTTCCCTCTATACCCGGGGGCAAGTGAGAAATCCATAGGGAGTGGGTGGCAGGTACGGTTCGCTGTAGTGATGGCCTTGTGCCCACCAGTGTGATCAGAAACCACCACTCAAGGTGATAACCTTCCTCTTTTGGCACAAAGACTGACTATGGCCTTAGTGCTAAGCATGGTCGGAAAGCTGGAGAGTGGGGACCCTATAATGGGGGCACCTTGGGGGCCTTAGCCTTGGTGAGAACAGTTAGAACCCACCTTTGCCAATGCACTTTTCTGCAGGAAAACCCTACCTCGTGATTAAAAACGACTTCTCGCCTGTTCGTGGATGATCGAATTGTGTGTGCATACGTTTGTTGCATTTGTCTGTTGCATAGCATAACAAAACAACAGGAAAATCACAAAAAATATTTTTGCAATAAACGCCCTTATCTTAGACAGTCTGCCTTTTAGCTAGCCTGGTTTTAGGTTCTTTGTAAGCTAAGTAGCCACGCAGTTCCGACAGAAGAGATAAGGGACACTAAATAACCCTTTCGCATAAAGCCATATTTTTATCTCGGATAGTCTGCCTTTTAGCTAGCCTGGTTTCAGGTTCTTTATAAGCTAAGTAGTCACGCAGTTCCGACAGAAGAGATAAAAGGCTATAATAATAATAATAAATCCTAAATAAATAATAAAAGAAACCAAGACATTTATAAAAATAATTTTGACAAAGTCGTTTCATCCATATTACATCATATCATGAGTAAAGAAATACCAAGAGAGAAAATAAAAAGTGAGAGCACATTTTGCATCATTTAAACAGAAACTCTCATACATAAGCATATTCATGTTAGTTCAATACTCAACATGCATTAATAAAGTTCCTTCCGGGCATTCTAGAAAGTAGATGGTCCTCTCCCCATCCGAACTCGCGCACAAAAGGCCAGAGCAGTGGAAAACTTGGAAGAACAAAATCGCAAGCTCACTGCGGAGGTCAATACCCTCCGCGAGTAGGTGGCCCAACTCATGGAGGTTGTGCGCTAGGGCCAAAACAAAGGCGAGGCCCAAACGGAACACGCCTCTTGTCATGAAGAAGAGGAAGAAGAAGAATACTTCTTCGATGGAAAGGATGCTAAGACTGCACACATCCTCACCCCGGAGGTGTCCAAGCAACAAATCTCCGCCCTAGAGGAAAGAATGAAGGCGGTAGAGGGACACAACTTCGACGTCAAGGAGGTGGCGGACATGTGCCTAGTGAAGAATATCCACTTCCCTCCCAAATTCAAAATCCCG